GAAGTTTGCTTTGCTGGAGGAGAAGGGAACGCTATCATCTCTGCTGCGTCGCTTCCACGTCAATGCCGTCGTTCCCGAGAACGAGCTGGTACTCATTCCGGAAGTGACGTTACGTTGCGAAGGCGGCATCAGAGTAATCCTGACTAAGCGGAGGACAGCCGACGCGACAGTCGACGGTTAGCAGCGCATGCGCAATCGCACGAGGCACGCGCGAGAGCTGTGGAGGAGAAGACTACGAAGGACTAGGAACGTCACGAAGCTGCGGAGTCACGACGCGAAGAGACGCCGGCGGTTGCGACGTGTCGCAGACGATCTCGCGTCACGACGGTCGCACGTGACCGCCATGACGCGGCGCGCGAAGCGATGACGTCACCGCGATTTGTGGCATCACAGAGAGCGATGACGTCATCGTGATTTGTGACATCACCGAGACTGATGACGTCACCGTGATTTCATATATCGGCCGCCATCTTGTGACGTTTGTGGTGATACGGTGATTGCAGGCCTTATGAGCTTGGGGGGGGAGGGCGGTAAAATCAGTAGATTTAAACAGCGCGTTATCATTCTAGCTATCGTACCCGTTCATTGTAACATATACACGGGTCGCCACCACTCATTTCTAACTTGTTACTATTAGAAACGCGCTTTTCGTTATAACGGAAGACTCATCAGATATAGGTTTTAGGTGGGTTTTTTTCAATTCCAATTCGTATTTAGAAAACGAAGATGAAGAAGAAAGAGAAATGTTGTTGCATTTGTAGGAGGCAAGGCGTATTTGTGACTATTGTAGATTTTTTCCCGTTATAAAGGAATATAGACGTATGGCCAATATAGCTTCCGCGGTTGTTACTTGGTGATGCTGCTTTTGTTTACTTATCTGTGTTGATTAAAAGTCTCATTGAATAAAAATCTACTAACAGCGTTTCGTTTGATCCGACACTTAACCAACACACTGCGAGAAACATAGGATACAGCCGGTACATGCGAGCAGTGTCCCGAAACAATTACATGTACAGTTGTACTTAGCTATAGTTAGTTAGCTGATGCATTATTCCGATATAAACAACAACATTAATCAGTGACTAAGCTAACACGTCATGCGGTCATGCGCGCACAGAGACGCACACGCATGCGCACACATACGCGCACGCACGCACGCACGCACGCACGCACGCACAGTGACGCACGAACGCACGCACATGCACGCGCGTACACTCATAGGCGATATGCGAGAGACGGACTTGTTACCCGTTTGCGTCAGCTGTCATAAACGTACACATTTATAATGCTTTGAGCATACATACGTCTGCACGAATGCAGCCTAGCACGCTCACAGCGCGCATACGGCGTCTCTGGGCACGGAACATGGAATAGCACTATACAATATATATATATATACTATATTGTGCTGTCATTGTGTGTGTGTGTGTGTTGTGAAGTGATGTGTGTGTGTTGCGTGTGTGTGTAGTGTGTACGCTGCGTGTGTGCGTGTGTGGCGTGTGGCTGTTGTGTGGCGTCGTGTGCGTGTGTGCGTGTGTGCGTGTGATGTGTCTGTGTGTGCAGGTGTGGGCGCGATGTGTGCGTGCGTGCGTTGCCGTGCAGTGCGCCTGTAGTGTTTGTGTCTGTAAATCATATTTTCATATCGGTATCGTAGCCCGTTTCATTGGTCAGTCAGAAGAGCCGACACGTCACGAGCCGCTAGCTTATCGCGATTGGCGTAACCATAACTCTCTCTTATATTTTCGCTTTCGCCCCTTCTGCTCGGCCCATATACTTAGCTTCAAGTTTTCCACGGCAAGCGTACGTCACAGTGGCGTCTGAATATTTCACCCTTAGAGAAACTCTTCCAGTTTCTATTCCTAGGTGCGGCCAGGCGCGCATTGCGTATACATATATATACTATTTATTGATTTTATATAATTTATATTAATATTTTATATACTATAGCATATGCGCTTGATGCAACCCACTTACCTGGTTCTATCTCACCTTCGCCGTATACTACGGCAGCTGCAGCAAGAACAAGCACACGCACCGTACAACACCACAACGCGGCATTGATATATAATTTACAAACATAGTTATAATACAACATAGACTTATAATACTAACCTAATAGCAACTACGCTAGTCTATATAGTAGCAATGGCCGCGCGTGTCGTGTCTTGTAACGTGCCGCGGCTTGTTCTTGCTGCCAGGTACGTAGCGGTGGCTTGCTGCGGGGTAAAGTTTCGTGGTATGTAAGCGCACAATAAATGCGTTTATTGATTTACGAACCAGATCAAAACAATCGAAGCATTCATCGCGAGACTGCAAACACGTGAATTAAAATAAATCGGTGGGAGCGGTGTGTGTGTGTGTGTGTGTGTGTGTGTGTGTGTGTGTGTGTGTGTGTGTGTGTGTGTGTGTGTGTGTGTGTGTGTGTGTATGTGTGTATGTGTGTATGTGTGTGTGTGTGGGGGGGGAGGGGTGGCTGCAAGAGGCATGCATGTCTGTGGCCGTACGTCTGCGAGCGAGCTAAGATGTGCCTGCGCATGCTACGGTTCAAAACACACACACGGACTAAGGCCGAATAAGAGAGCGATGGAGTTGAGTATAAAGCCTTCCCTTGTTATAACACACAAATCTGCCGAGAAGATAGGATATAACAGTTAGTTGATCTTTCTATGCAAAATGCTAGCTTTGAATATTAGAGACATTACTTTAATATCCTCATATTATTTATCTTGCGTTCCCAGTACGGCGATCTGTTTTTTTCGAAATAGGATTCACAGCTCCACCCCTTCCCACATTAGATACATGATCTTTCTTTTAATTGGACCATTTATCGATACTATAAAAAACTAATCGGTTGCGCAAGGCTATGTCAACTTTATCTGTTTGCGTATTAATTGATTGGAACCGATAAGGAAACTTCGCGTAACTTATTGAAGATTCGACGAAACGGCACGTCACCTGCATGTAGTATATATAAAGTTATTTATCTAACCGCACCTATACATGGTTTGCCTTGAGCGCTTGCGTAGACGTGGACGTAGAAGCTGCGGCAGTACATACGCATAAATCATATAATTGAACTCGTAGCGAGCGAGAGCGAGCGAGCGAGCGAATCTAGCGAGAGTGCAGTTGTGGGAGCAGGTTCAACAGTCAGAACGCTCGTGTGCGGGTTCGCGTCGTAAAACCTTACAGCATTGCGGTTTTCATCGCTGCTGTTGTTTCGATCGGAGCAGAACAAGATGGCGGACGTGGGGGAACTGGAATGGCTGGACATTGTCGTCATCATCTTGTATTTCGTCTTCGTTCTCGGAGTTGGATTAATGGTGAGAGCCCACCTACCCGCCTACCTTTACCACCTACCTTATACACTACCTTATACACTACACTTACCCACCTACCCTTACCACCACCTACCCGCCTCCACACACGCGCGGTGTCTACATAATTATCATGGTTATCATTATTGATTATGTTACAGATAAGATGGATCTTAATTATTGCGTGTGAGGATTATGCGCGCATTCCCGTACACTAAACTGATAGGTGGTGTGTACGCAATGATGACTAAATTAAAAGGAAAGAAAGGACTTTCTGCAGTAAAAAGAAGTTCGTTTGTTAATTCCCCTCACTAGTGGCATAATCTATATTTATAGAGGCATAATTATAAGATGCAATTTTGGTCCATTGAGGGTTTGTGTTTGGCGGTGCTAAATGACCACCATAGATTTATCATTCTATCATTCCACGGGCTACGGCCGGCCATTTTCACGTGCCTGAAGCACCGAAAATGTCTCGCCGTCACACCTTTGAAGCGTGCTGAATATTTACAGTGGGAGATGTGGATTATGATATATATATATATATATATATATATCATATTCCACATCTCTCCCTGTGATTATATATATATAATTAGGGGGCCTACCTATATATATAAATATATATATACGTATATATATATATATATATATATAATATATATATATATATTATTTAATATATTATGTTGATGCTGCCACTTTCTATCATTTCAACAACGGTTTGTCACTGTGCTGTATATGTTTAAACATGACTGATGCGGGATAGGCGGCGACGGCCAGTGAAATACATTGAGCGTTAAGCACATGATTTACTGTCACACGCGGTGACAGTATGCTAAGAGGCGGTCACCATGGAGTCTATATAGACTCCTGGCTAGAGCGGTCACCATGGAGTCTATAATATAGACTCCCTGACTAGAGCGGTCACCATGGAGTCTATAATAGACTCCCTGGCTAGAGCGGTCACCATGGAGTCTATAATAGACTCCCTAAGCTAGAGCGGTCACGCATGGAGTCCTATAATAGACTCCCTGGCTAGAGCCGGTCACGCATGGAGTCTATAATAGACCTACCTGGCGGTTAGCCACACGTCCTAAACTTCAGACACAACACTCTCAAGTTCTGTGCACCGTGAAGTTGGTGGGGGACCGGCCATGGCAGTGTGGCGTGGCGTGGCGTGTGTGCGTGCGTCAGAAGCGTTACGGGTGTTGCGTGGCGTAGGGCCCAGAGCGTGTGTTCGTTGGGGCGAGTGTGTGTGTGTGCGGCGTGAGTGTGTGTGGCGGGAGGAGCAGAGGGAGGTGGAGGGTAGGTAGGTGTGGCGTACGTTGGGAGAGTGATTGATGTGCATGTGGTGAATGCATGATGCGCTTGCGTGCGGTGCGAGCGCGCGTAAGTGTACGCGTGCGCGTGGGCAGCGTGCATGCGTGCGTGCATGCATGCGTCCCCCCCGTGCTGGCATGACGCGGCGCGGGTGAGTGTACGTCGTGCGTGGCCGTGCGTGCATGCGGGCGTTGCCGTGAGTGTACCTGCGGCGTGGCGTGCCGTGCATGCGTGCGCACAGCCGTGTAGTGTCACGTGGCAGTGCGTTGCGTGAGCCGCGCGTGGTGGTACGTGCGCGTGCCGTGCGCCGCGGTGAGTGTACGGGGGCGCGTGCGTGCTCGGTGCGTGCGTTGCCCGCGCGTAGAGTATACGTGCCGTGTGGGGCCGTGCGTGCGTGCGCGCGTGAGCGTTACGTGCGGTGTGCGTTGCGTGGCGTTGCGTGCCGCGCGTGAGTGTAGCGGCGCGTGCGTGCGTGCGTTGCGTGCGCGCGGTGAGTGTACGTGCAGGATATTTTCACAGGCTTGGTCAGGCTTTACGACTAATACGGACTACCGCCGAATGTCGCTTAAATTCAAAATTCAAATTCATAGCAAATAATAAACGGCCAATTCGCGTATACGAACGGAACACGTCAACGAAACCGACCTTGCCCACTCAGAATAACCAAACTTAGGCGACCTGTTGAGAGTTCAATTGTCAATTGTCAAAAGGTTCGACTTTGAACTCATATGCAAATCCTGAGAAACAAACTTGAATTTAACACAACGATAAACCTTGGTGTTGATTTTGTTTGCGGGAGAGAGAACCCATTCAGCGACAAGCATGCACCACAGCTGAGACATGAATTAAAACATATTGTTTTAACTCATAAAACATGTTTTATTAGCAGCTGTGACGGACCGTATAGGCCCCCCCATTGTTCCTCTTATTAGGTCTTTTGGTTTGCGAATGGCCCAACGAGTACAAACAGTAGACCATCTGCATAATGATTTACTCGGTTATTTTATAGGGCTTTATACAAAAAGCAGAACTTTATATATATACTGTAATATATATACTAGTATATAACATATATATATATATACTATATATATAAGTTGTCACTGGCGTCGTGCGTGCGCGTGCGTGCGTGTGCGCCATGTGTGCGTGAGTGTGGCGGTGCCGCGTGCTGTGCGTGAGTGGTGCGTTGTGTGTGCTGTGTCATGTGTGTGGGTGAGCGTGTGTGCGTTGCGCTGTGTCGCGTGCGCGTGTGTGCGTGCGTGTGCGCGTGCGTGCGCGTGTGTGCGTGCGCGTGCGTGTGTGTGCGTGCGCGTGTGTGCGTGCGTGTGCGCGTGCGTGCGTGTGTGTGCGTGCGTGTTAGTGTGAGTGCGTATGCGTGCGTGTGCGTGTGCGTGTGTGTGCGTGCGTGTGTGCGTGCGTGTGTGGTAATTAGTATATATTAATTATCTGCGAACAGGTTACTAAATGCTAACCTTGTGATGCACCCAATACGATAACAACTATTTAAAAAAATCACTATATTATCGTACGGAATACCTTTCATATCATCACTTGTACAAATGTTTACACTACCTAGATATTTACCAGACCAACGTTCGCTATCTCACTTCCTCTTTAATTTTATCCGAATTCAATATTTCAAATTCAAGATAATCAATATAATCAAGAGAATCAATATTGCTGAGTGTTTTTTTTGGCTTAACTGCCAGCATGTCAATCATCCGTGCTTGCCACTCATGAAACACACTGAGTCATTATGCTGACTATAGTTCCTAGCCACTAGTTAGCAAGTGAATGAATATTGGAACTTCACGTAAAATACAAATTCTGATATATTCGATATATCTTTATGCGAAAGCCGTACTTCTAGCCGCAAAAATATCCGTTCCATACTCACTGTAATTTTTATATGTATATATGTACATACATAATATTTATATATATATATATATATATATATATATATATATATACACGTGCAGTGTGTAAGTTGAACGGAACTTTCATGCAGCCAGTACTCTGTACGGGACTATAAAGTGAGGGAGGGAGCGAGAAAGGTGAATAGAGAGGTGGTAGAGGAAGCGAGAAAGAGGTTATGACATGGACACATTCTAATAATGACACAATGTTAAATTTCAGGCATCCAAGTTTAGTAACAGGACAACCCTTGGCGGATATTTCCTAGCAAGTCGAAGCATGCATTGGAGCTTGGTAATCTAAGCCTACTAAAAATAACTAAAAAAATACTAAAAATACTTGTTTTTGCATATTGGCGCTACTGTAGCTTCAATACAGCTTGGTATTGTAATAAAGTACTGAGAACAGAAACCTAGACTGATGTGTGTGTGTGTGTGTGTGTGTGTGTGTGTGTGTGCGCGTGTGTGTGTGTGTGTGTGTGTGTGTGTGTGTGTGTGTGTGTGTGTGTGTGTGTGTGTGTGTGTGTGTGTGTGTGTGTGT